ATATACATATACATATACATATACATACATATACATACATATACATATATACATATACACACACACACACACACATATATACATATATACTACTACTGTATATGAAGTATAGTATAAAGTATGCATATATAGTATACTATACTATATATAGTGTAGTATACTATATATAGTATAGTATACTATATATAGTATGGTATATGAAGTGTTTAAACAACTCACTTTTGTTCCTCTGAGTCGTGTGAGTCTCGTTGGTCCACTCGGTTACAGCCAGGAGCACATCCTCCACTGAATCTCCATCAACGTCCCACAATGTCAGCGCAGGTCGAGCCACACCTGAACACAACCCGAACACAGAGGTGAGCACCAAGACGCTATTTTTGTTTCATCTGTCAAGGAAAGCATGCCTTTGAAAAAGGTCGGCAGAAATAAACCATAAAGTTGTCAGATGAAGGTGCTGTTTAAGCACTTAAAGGTGGCCATCACTGCCTAGACCAGTGGTTCCTTCAACCATGGTCCTTGAGGAACGCCATCCTCCTGCATGTTGTAGTTGTTTCCCTGCTCCAACACATCTGATTCAGTGATTTTATTACTTCCTCAAGTTCTGCCAAAGCCTGTTAATCGTCCATTCATTCAAATCTGGGAAACAACTGCAACATGCAGGATGGTGTTCCTCAAGGACCAGGGTTGGGAACCACTGGCTTAGACAAGAAGACTCCTCAGTAAGTCTTTGCTCCATTTACTTTATGTACATGTCAACAAAGTAAGCTCTTTATGAGCGTTTATATTTCCATCTGGCTCTCAGTAAATATGTAAACTCTTAATATCACTCAGGGGAACCTCAAAGTTAAGGTTGAGCATTCCTTACCGACTTCATCTCCCAGAGCTTTCTCCCACTGCAGCTTCTTCTCCAGCTCTCCTCTCTGACACGGGACGAGGAACACGTACAGCAGCACGATCCCAGCGGTGCAGGTCAGGGGCACCAGGAAAAACGCACTTCGCACCACGTTCTTCGCTCTCACCCTCTTCTTCTCTGCTTCGACGCTGTGAACCCCAAGTCCTGAGGCCCCGGACATCCCAGAGCCCCCTCTGTCCTCCCCCATCTTTTCTCTGCCCGAGTCCCTGCGGCTCCAGAACTGGCTGTCTTTCAGCTCGCACCTGTCCCGCCTGGATTTGCCGGGGAGCCGCTCCGTCCACTCGTCGTCATCTTCTTCCTCGTCTTCGTCGTCCTGCGCCTCGTTGAGTCGTTCGGCTCTGCCGGCGCGTAGCTTTGAGGAGCCCAGGCAGCCGTCCCTGCCGAGGCCGTTTCTGGGGTAGTTGAGCACGAGGTCATCTTCTTCGCTCTCGTCATCGCTGTCTGCCTGGGTGAGAGGATCGTAGTCCCCGAGCTCAGAGCCCTTCTTCCCTGAAACACACACATAGAGGCAGGTGGTAATTTAATGCAGGTACTGTTGTCTAGAACACACTTTGATTTAAATAATATACTCTGAAGTATAAGTTACTAAAACATTAGTACAAGTATGTACAGAATGTCGACATTTTGTAACCATTGAAGAAGAACCAATATACATAATGTTAAATCTGCAGCTCATCAGGGTCACCATGGAAACCACACCCAAGTGTCTCCCTCCCTGACATCTTAATGACAGGGACAGACAGGAAGAGCAAAATCTGACACCGTGCAAAAAAAAAACCGAACAAACAAACAAAAAAGATGCTGTTTTAAAATTAAACTGGCTTGATGGGTTATTTTGCTAACTGGGTTAAAGCTTTTGAGCCGTGGGTTTGTTTGGTTTAACCAAATATTTGGTCAAATACTTTGACCCATTGTTTAGTTAGAACTGTTACCCTGTTCTTCACAGTCGGACCTGGCTGAACTTCTACTTTAAAATATTGATAATATCTATAAAGTAGATTTTAAAACTACTTGTAAGAAGATATTTAACCTGGTTGGCTCTGTTAATAAATTTAGTTTGCACTAAGCATTGAATTTGGTATCCTACAAACTAACGTTAGAGTCAGAGTTTCTTTATTGTCATTCGCACCACATGTGGTGGAACGAGACGTGTACTCAGGGTCCCAGTTACATCCCACAATAAAATGTAAAAAAAAAAACAGTAATAAAATCTAAGATATGAACTAAGAAAAACATCAACTAAAAATATGCTAAGCACTAGTAGCATAAAAACAATTAGTTTATGCTAGCTGAAGCTAACAGTGCTAACTCCAGCTAGCTAACACAATCCATCCGTCCATTATCTTCTCCCGTTTCTTCCTTTTCGGGTCACTGGTGCCCATATCCACCAGTCACTGTGTGAGAGGCGGGGTACACCCTGGACAGGTCTCCAGTCCATCACAGGGACACACTGAGACAAACGAGACAAACAACCATTCACTCTCTCACCTAGGGACAATTCAGAGTTACCAATCAGCCTAACATGCATGTTTTTAATCTGTGGGAAGAAACCAGAGTACTCGGAGACATCACCGTCTGAAGTTGTGGTAAAAACAAAATAGGCTTTTTAATTTAAAACATGTAAAAAAATAATAAAAGAGGATTACAAAAGAGTAGTTAACACATAAAGTCCAACTAGTATACTAAAATATATACGTTCTATCGTGAAGTATGCCTGAATGATAAAGCTGTAAAGTGTTTTGCACTTGTTCTGTCAAAACACCATTGTGTGGAAAGTGTTGTGTCTTTATGAATTTTATCTACGTTGCACACTGTCCCTGATCCAGCTGCACATTCTGATAGATTAGTTTTGTATGGGTTTTCTACAGCTGCAGGAGGAGACGCAATTCAAAAGTAACTGTGATGGAAAACGCAGAAAGACACGATGCGTTTCCTATAGAAAATTTAAATATGCTCCATTATATAAAATCACAGACGTCGATGGCATCAAATATATTTCCTAAACAAATAAAACCATCTACATGTGTATTTTTAACCATGCAATAATAAAACTTTTTAGAAAAATGTATAGCTTGCTGATGTTGTAGATTTATTACATCCATTACTGCATTTTTTTCTCTTGTTAAATGTCACAAAACATTATTAAACAAGTTTGATGTTCCTGAGGGTTTGAACAAATGAGAACGAAAGATATTTGGAAGATACTGAAATATTTAAACAAGTACTTTTAACTGTTTTCTTTTTCCATTTAATGTGCAAAGTGTCATCAGTAACAAGTAGATATTCAACTCCACTTATTTTAATAACTCTTAATAATTATTCACTTTTACGTCCTGGAGCAATTGAGCCCAGATCTGTGTCTGACAGGGGAGTGGTACCTCTTTATAAACTGATTTCTGTAGATTTTGGAGTCAGAAGATAATATTTTAACAAAGTCTACAAACCTTTGTTCAACAATTATCTCTGGTATGACAAAAACTATCTGCTTGTTGTGTCTGGAGCAGAACTTCAGCC